ACCCAAAATGCGCTTGCTGATCAGGAATCCGGTATGCGATAAGGAACCTTGAAGTGGTGATGAAGGACCCAGTATGAGCATGCCGTTGAGGGATCTAGCACACAGTGAGGCTTCAGTCAATGGCACCAAGGGAACCAGCATATGACAAGGCATCTAACAGTAGCAAGGCAAGTAGCAGCAAGGCACCCAGTGGAGGGGCAGTTGGAAGGGTAGTACCTGGTGGAGTAGCAGGGAAAGCAGCAGAATATAGGGCCTGATTGCCACTGACTGGCCAGAATTTAAAACCATAGAAACCCATGGTAAATTCTGTGGGGTGAACAGCAGCAAGGAAGCCCCCATGACAGACCATGTAAAAAAAAAATAGTAGTAGTGGTACAAATGTGAAGATGCTAAAAGGAATGAGGTGCAACTATGATACAAATTTTAAAATGAATGTTCTAAATTATTCTGAAAAAAATAATTGTGAAGTGGGAAGAAAATATAATGCTACTGAAGCAAATATGTGTTTATAGAGATGATTTAAAAGGAAAATTCGAGACTGCTAAGTCCACACGGAAAACATTTGGGAGTCCAAAAGAAGGTCACTTTCCTGAAATTGATAGGCAAGTTGTCAAGTATGTTCAAGAAAAGAGGGAATGCCAATCACCTGTGAAGTGCTTTGACTCAAGGCATTAGAAATAGTGAAGGAATTGAACATTCCCCTTCCAAGATTCAAAGCAAGTAGTGGGTAGTATATCTAAAGGATGTGACAGTGGCTTAGCCCTGAGACTATGAACATCACTTGAACAAAAATTACAAAACTCATGATTACCTGCTATGCCAGACAGGCAATGCTGATGAGATTCCAGTCTATTTTGACATGCTGAGCAATATCACTATCCATGAGAAAGATGCAAAATCCATAATTATGAGAAATACAGAAAATGAAAAGTAGTGAATTACAGTGATGTTAGCAGTATTGGCAGATGGGAGAAAATTGCCACCTTATGTGATTTGGAAACATGGAACTCTTCCAAAATAAAAGTTGCTACCAGGAATACCGACTAGAACAAGGATGGATGTCAAGTGAACTGAGGAATGACTGGTTAGATGTGTGAAAATGGTGACCTGGGGCACTGCTAAAGAAAAGAGGATTTTTAGTGTTAGATTAATTCAGAGGGCATTTAACACCAGATGTGAAAGCAAAAATTTGGTCAGTGAATTGTGTCTCTTGTAGTTGTACTTGCTGGTATGACATCTCAACTCCAAGTACTGGATATCATAGTGAATAAGCCTTTTAAGGACCATTTACGGTGTCAGTACTCACTGGCTTTTGACAGGGAACCACACGCTTACACCTGGTGGGAAGATTAAGCCAACCATAGCACTTCTGGGGGAATGATGTCCTCAGAATCCATTATTAAAGGCTTCAAGAAGTGCTGTGTATCCAATGCCATGGATGGAACTGAAAACTGGTTTGTGGGAAGGTGAGGGAGAAGATGAGAACATTGAAGAGTGTGAGAGTGAAGATGCATGTGAATGTGACCAGTCCTAAATTCTAGGATTGAAGAAAGGAGGAGCCTTCACCAGGTTCTGGACAGAAGCTGATATAGATTAAGTTAAATTAATGTTTGAATTAAATTGAAGCTAATGTTGAATTTATGACTTATTGGTATTGCTGTAGTTTTTGTCAGTAGGTCTGTTTATAAAAATAATACCAAATTAAAATTTTTCTGCGTGTGGAATCTAATTATTGGGGGGGGCGGGTCATCTTAAGTTGAGGGTTTTTAGATTCGAGTAAATGTGGTATTTAACATGACTAGTTACTAAATGGGTTAAGATAGATTGTGAGAGGTGCATCTGGCGAACGTAGTCCGGTCCCTGTGCCCCTCTGCCAGCCTGAGCCTATGGCAGACTGCAGGTCCCAGCAAATAGTGGGAGGAAGGGGGTACCAGGGAGCAGTTACAGGGCACTGCACTCAGCAACAAAGGGACTGTTAGTGGCAGCTGCTGCTGCCGTGGCAATGCCACATGCGCAGCAAGAGCCTCAGCGCCAGGGCTGCCACAGAGACTTTGGATGGTGCACAGGTGGGGTAAGGTGCTGTGTGAAGGAGATTTCACTCCACCTGGCACCAGGTGCCATTGCAAAAGCAGCTTTTCTCCAGCCGCCACGGGAGCTCGGCTGTGTGGGGCCTGCCAGTGCTGAGGCATGGCGTGTTCTAGGGCTCTAAGCGCATCTGGCACTGCTATCTGCATGAGGGTCCACCCCGCCTGCTTGGGATGGCAGGACAGGCTGCACGGGGGGTGGGGCAGCAGGTAGTAGCCATGGGCAAGGGGGTGACATGTGTGGGAAAAAGCCAGTCACAGCTTTCCTCATCGAGGGCTGGAGGAAGAAGAGAGGTCAGTGTAAGGCCAGGAAGTGCTGCTTTTGTGCAGCATTTCTCCAGTGCCACACCAAAATGACAGTCTATTTTCTTAGCATGGTTTCCCAACTAACAGAGCAGAACACAGGCCAGTGGGTATTGGCTGAGTCCTCCCCACAGTAACATATAGAAGATGGACCCAACTCTGAGCCCGTGCATGGGCCAAGCCAATCTGGTGGATTAGCGGAAGATTCTTGCTCTCTTGCATATCAGGTCTTGCTTCCTGAAACTGCAGTACTAGGACTACTCTTGTCATCTGCATTAAAAATTGAACAACTCCAACGCTTCAAAGGAAGCCTAGCTAATTACTTGAGCTGGACAGAAGACTTACCCAAGTTTTGATTCTGACCTGGAACCAACTACAGAGTCGTTAACCAACCATCAAACAATTTCCCCTCTATCTATTCTGGCAAGCCAACATTTCTGAATGTGCATGAACATTTAGCTGTAATCTCCTGCAATATTCATATCCCTTTATCTATGCCAATTCCTTCTGTCCCTCGAGACTTGCATACTTTTCATATTAGTATTTCATTAGCATGCAGAAGCTGGTAGCTCTGTTGCCGACAGCCTTGCACAAATTGGAGAAGTGGTATCTGTATGGAGCACACGTGCAAAATACCTTTTATTCCATACGGTTCTTATTTTACCCAAGACATATTGGGTAAAACAAGAACAGACCATCTGGAAGTCCCACACTTTGAATCTGAGTGAACCCTTTAGTTTATTGCACAGCCAACAATTATTTATAATCAGCCATCTAGTTTTCCACTTCTTTTCTGCATATCCAGTGTATTTTTTTTTCCTTTGCACAATGTACATTGAATTTTGAGTAGATCTGAATCTGTATGTCATGTTTATAGGACCACAGCCCATACAACCTGTTGTTTCTCTCAGAGGTGTTAATTGGTGAGTTACCAATATTTGCAGTGGAGTATGTAAAAATTGTATGTGGCATACTTTTCCACTCAACTCCCTCCCCGCTCCTTTTTCTAGCTCTCCCCCCTCAGCTGTTGGAATCTTACAGTGTGTCTGCTACACTCACTCAGAACAGGTCTAACACAGTGGTAAAAATGCTGGTGGCCACTAGCACATCAGCTTGTGGACCCATGTTGCTGTTTGCAGTGGTAGCAGTTTTTTAAGGTGAAAAGGCACTTGTGTAGGCCAGGGCTGAGAATTTTATGTTAGCTGTCTCTAGGGAGCTCTACCACACAATGGCCCCTGTAAGTGCTGGTCACATTTAGAATACCCGCTGAAAAATTATGTCTGGCCAGAAGTAGCAGCAGGACATTATTTTTAGGGATCAGTCCTAATCTGACTGAAGTCAGTGGCAAAACTTCCTTTCATTTCTTTTCAAGATCCAGGTTGTTAATGAAGGGATTTCCATGCGTCTACATGCTGCATGGTTTGAGAGCAAGTCTTCGGCACTTTATTCTCTAGGCCAGAAAAGGCATGTAGCAGCTGCTAAACTGTTTGTTTTTTGTTTTTTTTTTCCTTTTGTGCCTGAACAGATATACGTGGAGGAGAGGGGGAGTTGTTTTGCTGGCTCATTTTAGTCAGTCTGGAGAGTCTCAAGGGCTGGGATAGCTACCAGAAACACCCAAATGCAATTAAAATTTGCTGGAAATTGGGTGCCTGATTCACTTTGGCAGCTGGTTCTATTGATTTCCCCTCAGTAAAACGAGGGGCGTTTTAAAAACTCTACATTTCACCTTCATATTCCCTTCCAACTAAACTTTTTTTTTTTTCCTGTGACTCTTTCTTTTAACTTTTTTTTTTTTTGGTACGGTAAGTAATATGTTCAAATACAATTGTCACACTTCAGTTACTCCCAAATGATCTTCCATAGCATGCACAAATACTTTCAGTTCATCTTGGTCATCTTCCAAAATACTAAAAAAAATCCTTTCTTTCTGATTTTTAAAAAAATGTTCTTGCGCTTATTTAATTATGAATAAGACATAGAAATAATAGTCCTTAATGCTGTTACTAAGCATTCAATACCCAAGTTCTTCGAGCATCTTGTATATCCCTACTCAGTTGTAATGCCTAACTTGCAGTCCAAGACCTCTTTTTCTATATGAAAATATATACTGCTCAAGAGTCTAGATTTTCTGCAGATTTCCTAGCATAGATGTTCCTCGTGTACTGCCATGTCCTGTACCAGTGGCTTTGTAACTTTAGGGCTTGGTCCTGCAATGTAGTGTGATCAATGGGAGTATGTGCAGAGGAGTCTTCACAGGGTTGAAGTAAGTGGGAAACATGCCTCAGAGCATGGGCTCCAAGTTAGAAGTGGTGCTGGAATCACCCCTTAACCCCACTGCCGCTCGTACGAGTTCATGCCACTGCAGGATTGAAAAACAGTTCCCAGCTGCTGATGCTTTAAGAGTAACAGAATCAAAGTAGACTTGCAGCCTTCCCCTTCCCTTTCCCGTTCTGCAGGGTTTGCCCCACAAGCTCCAACTTAGTTTGTTATACCACTAGGTAGAGGAGGGAAGAAAGAGAGCTGTCTTCTCTAGATTCCAAATCGATACTTCTTTTTAAACTGTCACCATTTGTAATGTGTCATGACCAACTTGATCACCATTTGTCACTTCAGAATTTGGCCCAGAGACTTCCATGGGAGATTAATGTTCCTTCACCAGGTTAGAATCTGAATAATGACTTCTAAATATATGCAGATTACCAAATCTGACTGCTGAAATCTAAAATCTGGTTTAAAAGCAGGAAATCAAGCATACAAAATATCTGTTCCTAGACCAATTTGAAGATGATTCCATTAGCTGAAACACCAGAAAATAGGCATTAAAATGGAAGGTGAGGGAAGTGAATAGAGCATAAACAAATGAATGGTGCAGAAGGGTGAGGTGTTATTAATTTGACCATATTCAGTTTTAATATGCATTTCAAAAGGATTTTTTTTTCCATGAAGATAGTTCAAACCATATTTCAGTCTTTCTAAAGAACACAGTGCAAGCTGCAGTACATAGTATGAATGCAGTGATCTCTTTAGAAATCAAAGGGAAAAAGAAAGCAGCAGTTATTCAGATCCTTCTCTTCAACAAAATTAGTTGTGACAGCTGTTTGCTAAAGGTATAATTAATGTTCTTTTAATTCAAGTAAACTCTGAGTGCCTGGAATACCTTCAGTGTAGTAGCATGACTTTGTATATGAATAGACAGGTTTAACTTATTTCTTCCAATAATAGAGTTAATATTTTCAAAAGGGCCCATTACATATCTCATACTTTTTAATGAGTTGCCACTTTTTCAGAGGTTATCTACAATATTTTAATATGCTTATTTATTTAAGAAGTTCCTGCCTTGCCTAATAAAGGTCACTTGTTTTAACACAGGCCAGAAAAGAATACTTTTCCTGAAGCTAAGAGAAAGCTATAAAAGCCATTTAAAAATCAATAACAGCATTCTCTTGGCTGCATTAATTATGGGAGGGCTAGAAGGGCTGTTGCTAGATGTGTTTAACTACCCCATACAAACTCCTTATTGTTAAGGAAAGCTAGTATGTACTGACAGCTGGATCATGGGGAAATGTAGTCTTGGCTAACAGTGGAAAGAGGGGTATTAGCATACTTTTTTGGCTATTACAGTCTATAAGTAGCTATATATTTTTCTGAACTGCTAAACTTTCCACACCAAATATGTCTTATCAGTAGGTGTGGGTGTATAAGAAACAATTATTGAGAAACCATACAGGACTTATTTTAGTTGCCTCTGAATGGAATTACTTTCCAGGTGATTTGGAATCTTACTGGTAGAACAGAATTGTAGACGCATTACTTTTTTGTATGCAGAAAATAGTAAGCCATCCAAACTACCTGCAGTTATAAAATAATTAGTCATACAAGGACAGGGAGTCTGATATAAGAATATCATGAAGATGAGATTTTGCTTTCAGTGATCTGAGAGATGCTGTGACTGAAAAAATGTTATATTTTTAGAGAATTTAGTTAATTTAAGATTATCAGGGCCTCTGTATTTGTGGAATATCATGCAAAACAAAGGAAGCTTTGAAAAAAAAAATCACATGGACACCTCTACATATGCAGGGAGTCTGTTCCAATGCACTGTAATTCCAGTGCGTTGGAGCAGACTTAATTAATCAAGTCTGCTGGAGCGTGGAAATTAACGTACTCCAGCCTCCAGCGTCATGTGTATCAGTGTCTCTTCACTGAAAAATGATGAGGTGCTTTGAACTAAAGCTCATTCGACGAGCTTTAGCTTAAAGTGCTCTGCTGTCATTTTTCAGCGCATGGACACTGAAACACATGACACTCTGGGAGCTTTTAATTAGCGCAGCTCTTGGAGCACATGCATAAATGCCCTGCGCCTCCTGGAGCATATGTATAAATGCCCATTATCATTTGGGATGGGTTTTACATGACATCTAGATTTTAATTGTTGTTGAATTAATTGTTTGATTGTTTAATTGTTGAAGCCCTCTCAATGTCAGACTGCTGATTTCTAAACTTTAAAGAATTAGGTAAAAAATTAAAAAAAACCAACTTGAATTTTCCTTGTAAAGATGGATAAATTAATTGTATGACACTGAATTAGCTGTATGAAGCTATTAAAGCAAACCTCCTTCACACCTCCTTAGTTCAGAGCACTCGGTGCTCTTTCTGGTGTTGCATAAAGCTCCGCAAGTATTTATCAAACCATTTTCTTTCTGGCCAAAGAGGATTGGACTGGAACTGTTTGGAGCCTGTGTGCCACATCTGTAACTAGCCAGTGCATTTCCATGATGTCCTGCAAGAGATGGCCCACTGAAGTTAACAGGATAATAATATGGGGTTTTATTCATTTTTATATTTAGAGAGTGAAAATGGGTGAGTGGAACCATGTAAAGGAACCAGAATTCAAGTTCCAGTATCATACCAGGCCTAGCAGTTTCATCATATCAAAATCTAAGAGTCAGTCCTAGAGTAATATTAGATTTTATTTTTTAAATAGAATTCTTGATGGAGGTAGATGCCTGAATTTATATGTTTAATTGTGTGGGTAAGCCTGATGAATGTAGTATTTTTTAAAGTAAAATATGAATAAAAACACAGCATTTATTGGTTTGGTTTACCTGACAATTCAGAACCACTGGGGGGAAAGACGTTAATTTCAACAAATAGGTACTACATTATTTGTTGAGTTTGAATGTGCATTGCAACATTTTAATTTTTTGTCTCTCCTTTTTCAAGGAAATTCCACTTATTTGGATGATCATGGACCTCCCCCTCGGAAGGTGAGCTGCTTTTTTGTTGCATTACCTATTACAATTTAAACTAAATATCTCATTGTTACTCTGAAATAGGAGTACAGTATCTTTGCTGAGTCTACACCTATGTATTGCAGAGTAGAATTTAGCCCTTTTGTTTCTCTAGTTAAAAAAATCCTTTCCTTTTCTTTTTTTTTTACTGAGGCTTTTGTTAAATATCTTGCAAAAATGAAAGTTAACTTGCGGGAAACCATGGCCAATTGAAGTCAGGGAGGCATTTGTCACTGACTTCAGTGAGGACAGGATTTCATGGATATTTTTGCGTAGCACCAACATGATGCCATCTGTAAATATGAAGCACAAATGGGAAGCACCTCTCTCCCTGGAAAATTATTGTCACTTGATAAATTGAGGATATTTTACCAAATTATTACTGCCATCATTACTTTTGTTGAAGCACTTGTGTACTTTTGGAATGACTAGCCCTCACAGCAAATCTCTTCTTTTTAGTTTCCTTTTTTAGAGCAAGTATGGAACCATGAATTTTTCTGTGAATATTTTTCCATTAATTCTATGGAAACAATGGCCATAGTTTTAAGAATGCAACACTAACTTATTTTTGTACAGCAGGCATGTCAAACTCACCCCACCCTCTGAGCTATGTCACTGTGGCGTGGCTCTTCACTGGCAAGATTTGATTGCCACAGCAGCAGTGGAGAGGCAAGTAGCAACAGCAGGGGTCCCCTGATGGAGCTCTGTGCCTCAGATTTTGGCAGTGAGCCCCACACCTATTTGCCCAGCCCTCAAATTCCTGGCCCCTTAAGGAGCCTTGTCAGCCAGACAGCACCGCTCTGATTGATTTGACACTGGCAACCCTATGGTCCCATGGATCTTGCACTCTTGGCTTCTCAGTGATTCAGCTTCAACAGAAGGGGTGGAAGGAGCCTCCATGCACACTTGTGGTCACGCTACTTTCCTGTGGAGTTGAGGTGTGGGCCTGAAATGTAGGTCTTCCACTTTACTGGGCAAGTGCTCTAACCACTAGACTATAGGGCTGAAGTTTGGGAATAGGCACCATTGCTACAACTTGTACTGCTAATTTCCTGCTGTGTTTTGTAATTAATCGAATTGCTTGTCTTGAGCAATCCAAAGCACTTTTAGGTTCTTGAGAGGTTTTACAGCTGCTGGAGCAAGGTTTATCCGGATCACTTTTGGGGATTTAAGCACATAACTTATGCTTAAATCCTCTGCTTAGAGAGAGATTTAGATCTAGTCTTAAATTTCTTTGAAAGCTGATACTGTATTTCTTGTCTAATTGTACCTGCTGAAAACAAAATAACCTCATCTTATTCCTGAAAGTGCAGTTATGAATCCAGATTATTCTAGTGATAAACAGAAATAATAAGAAGCATATTACTCATTTATAGCTTCTAGGATAAAAGAGATGAAACTAACAAAAGTTTTACATTTAGAAAGATTTATAGTTTATTTTGTCCCTGAAAGATTTCTTCTATTGTTGGCATATTGTTTGCTGCTTCTCTTTTACCTGGAAATGCTGTAGCTTCCATAGAATAAAGAACTACATATGTCCTGCCTCCCCTGTGAACCCTCAGGTTAAAAGAATAAAGCAATGCTTATTCCAGTTCCATATTTGCCATGTTTGTTTTATTACTCAAAAGTGCCTTCCTGTGCCAATGAGGAACAGGCTGTAATCTAAAATTGTGAACACATTTTTTAAAAAAGTGTCATTGAAGGGCATTTACACACGTGCTGTGGTTGGGGACAGAGGCACTTTAATTAGAGTCACTCTAAGAGCCACTCTAATTAAAGAATTAAAACACCCAGAGTGTCACGAGTATCAGAATCCCTGTGCTTAAAAATGGTGGCAGGGACGCTTTAACTAAAGCTTGTCAAAGTGCCCCCACTGCCATTTTTCAATGCGGGGATGCTGATACACGTGATGCTGGAGTGTGCTGGAGCACGGTGATTACCATGCTCCAGCAGACTCAATTAATTGTAATTACAGTGTGTCAGAGCAGCCTTACTGCATGTGTATAGGTGCCGAAAAAGCGTACTGAGTTTTACATGCCAAATTAATAGGGCTGTGCGGTCAAAGTGCCCCCACTGCCATTTTTCAATGCGGGGATGCTGATACACGTGATGCTGGAGTGTGCTGGAGCACGGTGATTACCATGCTCCAGCAGACTCAATTAATTGTAATTACAGTGTGTCAGAGCAGCCTTACTGCATGTGTATAGGTGCCGAAAAAGCGTACTGAGTTTTACATGCCAAATTAATAGGGCTGTGCGAGGTTTCATAGATTCATAGATTTATAGATGTTAGGGTCGGAAGGGACCTCAATAGATCATCGAGTCCGACCCCCTGCATAGGCAGGAAAAAGTGCTGGGTCTAGATGACCCCAGCTAGATACTCATCTAACCTCCTCTTGAAGACCCCCAGGGTAGGGGAGACCACCACCTCCCTTGAGAGCCCGTTCCAGACCTTGGCCACTCTAACTGTGAAGAAGTTCTTCTTAATGTCCAATCTAAATCTGCTCTCTGCTAGCTTGTGGCCATTATTTCTTGTAACCCCCGGGGGCGCCTTGGTGAGTAAAACCTCACCAATTCCCTTCTGTGCCCCCGTGATGAACTTATAGGCAGCCACAAAGTCGCCTCTCAACCTTCTCTTGCGGAGGCTGAAGAGGTCCAGGTTCTCTAGTCTCTCCTCGTAGGGCTTGGTCTGCAAGCCCTTAACCATATGAGTGG